CTAATGTGGCTTTTAAATAAGGTCCTCTATTAATAGATCTCTAAAAAAAAAAATAAAAAAAATAAAAAATCCCCCCTGAGCAATCAATACAGGGAGATGTGTCACGAGTTCAGGGACGGGGAGGAAAAAAAAAACAGCTCCAACCTGAGAGAAATCCAGCCCCATTTAAAGAGCTGAATTCGGTTCATTAGAGACACCAGGGTTAAACACAAAGCCCTGGCTGAGTTCAGCACTGCTGGGTGGCCCCGACTGGGAAATGAAAGGCATCAATTTTACCACCTGATTTTTCCTCTGTGCTCCAATCCCCCCTCTCCCCAAACCGCTCTGGCAGCAGGAAAAGGGCCTTGGAGTGGCTGGAAATTAGAGCTCCTTTCCCTCTGGCCGAGGGGGATGAAGGGGCTCTGCCACCAGTTTTAAAGGCATCTCTTTCAGGAGTGGGGCAGGATAATTCCCCTCAGCCATCAGAGCCCATTCCAGGGCTGGGAAGCTCCGGGAGCCAGGGAAAAGGAGAGGTTGACCCTCCAGGGGCAGGATGGTCTTCACTTAGTGATGCCCTTCACTAAGGTTTGGAGAGCATTTTGAGATCTGTGGCTGGAAAATGAGATGCAAATGCTCAGTGTTATCATTAACAGTGGCAGGGAAATTTGGGGAAAAGCTGGAGCACGACCTGTTTTTTCTGCTTTTGAATGAAGTTTGTAGCTCACTGGAACTGCTGCAGAGCTGGAGGGGAAGTGCTGCCCACCCACAGAGGAAAAGCTGAAGGCACTTCCTACACACTCTTTGGTTTTGGGGTGAAATCACCCCTAAAAAGGATAAAATAACCTGCTTTAGACACTGCCTGGATAAAGGAGTTGAGAGGCTGAATGGCCTCAGGGTCTGTTTTTAAAGAGATTTTCTTTTCGTGGAGAAGGCAATGGCAGGAGAGGAGGTGTCAAATTTGAGATTATGGCCAGAGTCCTGTTTTTCAGGTTAAAACTGTTAATGTGCTAAAATGGGGTTATTGTTCACTGAGGACAAGATAAGAACATGATAACAAGAATGTGATACACTGAGCAAATCAAGATTTATCCCACCAAAGGGATTGATGTGAGAGCAACTCCTGATTGGGAGTTTTGGCTGATGAAGTTTGAGATCTGGATTTAGGTTGTTTTTTTGGTTTGGTCTTTTTTTCCCAGGGCTGGAGCCCCTCTGCTCTGGAGCCAGGCTGGGAGAGCTGGGGGCGTTCCTCTGGAGAAGAGAAGGCTCCAGGGAGAGCTAAGAGCCCCTTGCAGGGCCTAAAGGGGCTCCAGGAGAGCTGGAGAGGGACTGGGGACAAGGCCTGGAGGGACAGGACACAGGGAATGACTTCCCAGTGCCAGAGGGCAGGGCTAGGTGGGATACTGGGATGGAATTGCTGTCTGGGAGGGTGGGGAGGGGCTGGAATGGATTTTCCAGAGAAGCTGTGGCTGCCCCTGGATCCCTGGGAGTGTCCAAGGCCAGGTTGGAGCAACCTGGGCTAGTGGAAGGTGTCCCTGCCTGTGGATTGGGGTGAGATGATCTCTGAGTCCCTTCCAACCCAAACCATCCCGTGATCCTGTGAGAAAATAATCTCAAATTCGCTGTTTAAACCAGTCAGTTGTTCACTGACCACGACAATCTGAAGTCAGGAGATCCCAACTGGATCTCAAAGGTAGCTCCAACTCCACAAGCCAATGGCTCATCTTTCCTCTTCCTACCTACAGACACCACAGGACCACCTTCAAAACTTCCCAAATCCTTCAGGGTGCATAATAATCCCCTTCTCTGTCAAATATGCAGAGGATCTCAGGAGCTCCACGAGGGAAAAGGATGAGGGGGGGGGATGTTCCATCTGCATCTGACAAGGCAGAGAAGCAGGAGAGGAAGAGGGAAAACCCAACTTCCATTTCCACATAAAACCCATTTAAAATGGACTTGCCTTCCACAATAAATTCACCCTCTCCCAGCAACTTGAATCCTTAAAGGGTTATTGTGAAAAAGAAGCTTGTATTCCCTCAAAAGACCTATCTGATGGGTTTTGGGAAGTACAAAATCCAATTGTGAGGGAGTGCAGATAAGGGAAGAGCTGTGGGAGAGCCATCAGCTGAGCAAACACTAAATAATGAAGAATGCAGAGGCTGCTCCCAGCAGTGACAAAACACTCCATTAGCAAGTCTGCTGCTCAATGAGTGATAATTGGGGCACGTCCACAGCCAGGGGTTATTGGATTTTTATCTCTGGGAAGGGGCCTTTTGACAGATTCACCAAAAAAAGCCAGGATTTCCTTGCTCAGGATTTCTCAAAATCTGCCCAGCTCCACCTGGGGCTGCCTGAATATTTATAGCTATGCCCAGAAATTGCCCTTTTACTGGAAAAAGATCATGATTTCCTTGCAAGGAAAGGGACTCAGGGCCACCAACACCACGGCATGGGCTGGTTGGAGATCACAGAATTTGTGGCACTGCACCAAAAATTCTGGTTCTGATCCCTCACTGAACACTTGGATGATGCCCTGAGCGGGGCCAGGATTTAATTTTCAATTGCTGGGACAGAAAAGACCAAGGATCAAAGAGCTGGATGGGTGTTCTCATCCTGCAGGGAAGATAAACCCCCAATTAATGAAATTACTGCTCTGGTTCAAGCACAAACACTTCAGTGGAATATCTGGTCCAAGGAGAAACAGAAAGCAGAAAACAGAGCTGCTCAAAGGAATATAAAAAAGTGCCACCTGCCCAAAAAGCAGGAGGGGTGACACGTTGGTTTGTGCAAGAGGAACCAATCCTAGTTGCACTGAACTGGAATATTTGGGAATAAAGTTACTGTGACAAAAATCCCCTTTATTTAGAATCGGAGAATCCCAGAATGGTTTGGGTTGGGAGGGACTGGAAAACTCCTCTCATCCCACCCCCTGCCATGGGCAGGGACACCTTCCACTAGCCCAGGTTGCTCCAACCTGGCCTTGGACACTTCCAGGGATGGGAACTCCACCACCTCCCTGGGCAGCCCCTTCCAATGTCTGACAACCCTCCTTTCCAGGAAGAAATTCCTCCTGGTTTTCCTTTTGGAGTTAATGCTGGAAACCTTTCCCAGGGTCAGATTATAACCCCAAGGCCAGACAGGGATCATATCACAGAATCATGGGATCATGGAGTAGGAAGTCCATCCAGCATTGCTCATTCTTCCCCTCGTTCCAGGTACTCCTGGAATTGTGCAGACATTTTACTAGGAAGTTATTCCAGAGGAAGCTGGATTTTTCTCGTCAGGAGGAGGCTGCCAAGTGGAATATTCCACTCTGTCCTTTTATGTTTATTCACTGCTGCGTGGAAGGGCCCCTCACAAGCCTCAAAGTCCCCTTTAATGTCGGGGAAATATTGATTTATTAAAAAAACCCCAGGGTTTCAACCAGAGCTGAAATTATAAATGATGGTTTATTTTAACAGCTCTGATTGTTACAACACAAATATTCCACCCCAAGAACTCTCCCAGTAACTAAAGATCTGTGAATAAATATTTGGTTGCTGAAGTTTGAGAGCTGGATTTAGGTTTTTTGGGGTTTTTTTTTGTTTGGTCTTTTTTTTCCCCACTGGGCTTTGTTTAAATTTTATTTGTTTATACCCTTTTTAAAGCACACCCTGCAAGAGCAGAGCAAGTCTTGGCACCCAAGTATTGAGAACTCAAAATATGGGTTTGGAATATTGGAATATTAAAGCTGCCTGGATTAATTTGGGGCTTTAATTGTTAACTGATTGTATAATCTTAATTATCCTTCCGGATCCCAACGAGCTGAGCACGGACAGCTGGAATAAACAGGTTAAATGTCCTGTCCTAGGGCAGATTTAGGAGCCATAGGAAGAATTTTCACTCAACCAGAGATGTTTTGCTGTCAGGGGACAATGATTTTAATGGACAAACACCACCATGATTTATTCAGCACCAGCACCTGGGCACCTTCTCAGGAAGTGGAAAATGTGGAAAGACCTTTGAGAGCTGGAAAGACCTTGGTGGTCTTTGTGGAAAGACTTTTGAGAGCTGGAAAGACCTTGGTGGTCTTTGTGGAAAAACCTTTGTGGTCTTTGTGGAAAAAACTTTGTGGTCTTTTTGGAAAGACCTTTGAGAGCTGGAAAGACCTTTAATAGCTGGAAAGACCTTTGAGGTCTTTGTGGGAAGATCTCTGAGAGCTGTAAAGACCTTTGTGGTCTTTGTGGAAAGACTTTTGAGAGCTGGAAAGACCTCTGAGAGCTGGAAAGACCTTTGAGGTCTTTCTTTGTGGAAAAACCTTTGTGGTCTTTGTGGAAAGATCTTTGAGAGCTGGAAAGACTTTTGTGGTCTTTGTGGAAAGATCTTTGAGAGCTGGAAAGACCTCTGAGGTCTTTGTGGAAAGGCCTTTGAGACCTGGAAAGACCTTTGAGGTCTTTATGGGAAGATCTCTGAGAGCTGGAAAGACCTTTGAGATCTTTTGGAAAGGCCTTTGAGAGCTGGAAAGACCTTTGTGGTCTCTGTGGAAAGACCTTTTTGGTCTTTTTGGAAAAACCTTTGTGGTCTTTTTGGAAAGACCTTTGAGGTCTTTGGGGAACGATCTTTGAGAGCTGGAAAGACCTTTGAGGTCTTTGTGGAAAGATCTTTGAGAGGTGGAAAGACCTTTGTGATCTTTGTGGAAAAACCTTTCAGGTCTTTGTGGAAAGGCCTTTGAGGTCTTTGTGGAAAGACCTTTGAGGTTTTTGTGGAAAGACCTTTGAGAACTGGAAAGACCTTTTTGGAAAGACTTTTGAGGTCTTTGTGGAAAGGCCTTTGAGAGCTGGAAGTGCTGCTCCCGTCACCCTCCAGTGCAGATGTCCCATCCCAGCACCCACGAAGAAGAAAGACACGAAGCCGCTTCTCTTCCCGCTTCCCTCTGACACGAACCCACTTTGGAACCCGCAACAAAAAACACCCAAAACTGCTCAAATTTCACATTTCCACCGCTCCAGCTCCAAGGCAAAGGCTCTGCCATGGGAGATACTTACTCTGGGAGGTGGAGAGGCTGGAGAAAGCCGCCTTGGTGCGCCCTGCCAGCCACTCCAGGCTCTCGTGCATGTTGGCCAAGGCCTTGAGGTCGCTGACGTCGCGCAGGATCTCCTGCTGAGGGATCAGTTTGTCGCCCAGGTTGCCGATGAGAACTTCGGATTCTTTGCCGAAAGCGGCCCTGAAACGCAAAGCAAAGCCACCCTCAGGGACACGGGACCATGGGACAGGGAGGGGAGACATCAATGGGATTAATTCAGCTTAAACCCAGGCTCAAGGCCTGGCTCAACAGGGCACATCAACTGCCCTGGGAATAAAGCAAATTCCAAATAAATAAAGGGCCTTTCCTCACTGTCCAGCTGCTTCTCTGTGGAGCTCAGTGTTCCTTATTCCCATGTTTAGTCCCCATTCCCATGGGATTTGCCAGTGCTGCAATAGGGGGTCACTTAAATCCCCGCTTTGTCAGACTTAATCCTCAGCTTAACTGAGCTCCTCGTTTGGTTTCCCTTTGTTAAAAAACCATCTTAATTTCTCCTTTGTATTTTTTTAACATTCCCAAACACAGCTTTACAACCACCCAGTTTTCATGGATAATCATAAGGATACGTGGCACATCCTTGGCACGGTTCCAGCAGGGATGGGGGGAGAGGTCTCTGTCCTGGTTTCCCAAAGAATTATTAAGGTTGGAAAAGACTCCAGGATCAGGCCCAACCCCGAGTGCCACCATTCCCACTAAACCATGTCACCAAGTGCCACATGGGGTGGTGACTCCAGCACTTCTCTGGGAATTCTGCAGGCACACCAGCTTCCCCCTAATGGCCCTAATGATGTGATTTAGGAACATCCTAAATCTTGTTAAGTAAGGCAGGGGCTGCTGTTAAATCCTTGTGGAGAGGCTGGAAGTGTTGTTATCCCTGGGAAGTGTAGAAATGTTATCCCTGGAAGTGTCCAAGGCCAGGTTGGAGCAACCTGGGATAGTGGGAGGTGTCCCTGCCCATGACAGGGGGTGGGATGAGATGATTTTTAAGGTCCCTTCCAGCCCAAACATTCTGGGATTTTATGATTTCCATGATTTTTAAGCTGAAATTCCATGTCTCTGCTCTGCAGTCCCCCCCTCCATCCCTGAGACAGAATTTAGGGGCACAGACTTCATCCCAAATATTTCTGGAGTATTTTTGGGGTGTTTTTTGAGGTACTTCTGGGGTGTTTTGGGGGTATTTTTTGGGTAATTTTAGGGGTTGTTTTTAAGGTATTTTCAGGGTATTTTGGGGGTACTTTTGGGGTGATTTTGGGGGTATTTTAGGGTGATTATGGGGTGTTTTTCAGTTATTTTGGGGGTATTTCTGGGGCAAGGTTTTTTCAATGATTTGGGGAGGTGGTTTTGGGGTACTTTCAGAGTATTTCTGGGGTATTTTGGGGGGGATTTTGGATGTATTTTGGGGATGATTTTGGGGCACTTATGGGGTGGGTTTTTAGGGTGACTTTGGGAGGTGTTTTTGGGGTATTTCTGGGGTGGTTTGGGGGTTATTTTATGGGTACTTTTGGGATAAATTCAAAGGCAAAGGTGGAGATGAGGATTAAACTGATGAATCCCAACTCAGGGACAGCTCTGTACCCTCCCTCTCCCACTTTTAAAAGCCTGGCAAAGCTTCTCATCCCTGCTGGAGGATGAGCAAACATTCCCATGAGTCGACAGATTTCCTCCTCTCTCCAGGCTGCATCATCCCAAGATTCTGAGCTCCCACTCAGGGAACAGGGAAAATGCCAGTCTGGGCAAATCAGACCTGTTATTTCCAACAGCTTCACTCCCTCCTCCAGCTTCCCAGCCAAATGCCAATCAAGGAA